ATCTTTAGATTACAATAGTAGTTTTAAATCTAAAAACCCCCAAAAATGTTAGGAGTGCAATTAGAAGTACAAACGCAATTCTAAACTAAACAGGCAATACAACTCCATTCCAAGCTCCCTGTGGAAATTCGACCCCGATCCACTATTTGGGTATTAGTTATTGCTACCCACTCTTCTTGCCATTGTGTAGTGTTGAGACGGCCGCAATCAACTTTTTGGCGCCGTTGCCGGGGAGCTTACGGTGTTGACTATCGGTTTAGTTAGTTTTGTGTTTTGCTTCTTTTTCCTTCTGGTTTACTAATTCTATTTGTGTCAATCATTCAGGTACTATGGCTCTCAATGCAAACGACCCTCTTGGCAACGTGAACGCGGGGGAGGAGGTAGAGGATCTTAAGCCCGAAGAGGTTATACCACCTCAAGTTCCACGTAGAGGCCGTCCGGCCAACGCAAATGACAATAATCCTATTCCAGACCCTCCTCCGCCACCGCCAAGAGCAGTCCCAAGAGTTCTTCCTAATCAAGGGTACGCGAGTGCCATCGTTCCTCCCCGAATCCGGGCGGGGAACTTTCAAATCACAAATGTCATGTTGACCTTGCTCGAGCAAAGGGGATATTTTACGGGCGCCTCCGACCAAAATGCATACAAGCACTTGAAGGGGTTCGTAGATACTTGCTGGGGCAGCAAACAAACAAACGTGTCAGAGGATGCGTTGCGATTGAGGCTTTTCCCGTTTTCTCTTCGGGGCAAAGCGTTGGACTGGTTAGAAAGGTTACCAAATCATTCTATCACCACATGGGATGAATTGGCGGACAAATTTATTGCCAAGTTCTTTTCTCCAACTCATATGGCGGCTCTTCGGGGTGAGATTCTAGCTTTCAAGCAAATGCCAACGGAACCATTGCACGAGATCTGGGAGTGATATAGAACAATGGTGAAGGAGTGCCCTAACAACGACATGACTGAGGCGATGATCCAGCAGACTTTCTATAGGGGCATCAACACCACGAATCAGTGCATTGTGAACCAATTGGCCGGTGGGAACTTTATGAAACTTTCTTACCAAGAGGCATGTAACGTACTTGATGAAATGGCCGACACCTCTTCGGCATGGCAAAGCCAAGTGAATGTACCACAAGGTGACCCCACGGTCATCCATTTGCACAAGGAGTTGAATGACCATGGCCAAGCTATTGCCGAACTTAGAACAACAATGAATCAGTTGGCGAAGGCGCAATTGCAACAAGTACAAAATCCGCGCCAAGTCAATGCAATGGAGAATGTTTCTATGCTAAAAAGGAGGCAAAGAGGGAAACAACAACCTCAAGGTAATGGTGAGCAGTTTGACAACAACAATGATGGTGGTGGTTATTCGAACGAGTGTTATGATGATCAAAGTGAGGAATGCCAATATGTCAATAACTACCAAGGAAATAGGGGTAATCAAGGTAATAACCAAGGCAATTGGAACGGGAACAACAACAATTGAAGCAACAATAATAGCAATCAAGGAGGGTGGAATAATGGTGGTAGGGGGCAAGGCTTTCAAAGGCCCCCCATGTTCCAACAACCAAACAATCCACCCCCCTTTCAGTCACAAGGGCCTAGTTCTTCCGGAAGTGATATGGGACGGATAGAGATGATGTTCGAGCAGATGATGAAAAAGAACCAAGATTCTGACGCACAATTGGCTTCACATAACACATCTATCCGGAACCTAGAGGTGCAAATAGGACAAATTTCTCAAGCTTTAAATACCTGACCTAAAGGTGCGCTACCAAGTGACACAGTAGTAAACCCGAAGGGGGGTAACAATTATGTGATGGCGGTTACAACTAGGAGTGGAAGAGGCGGTGATGTGCATGCCTCGGATGAGAATCGGGTTGTGAATGATGAAGTTGAGTCGCATGATGATGATGTGCCTTTGAATGTTGACAATGTGGTTGAACCAATAGTGACAAATGATGTGCGGATTGATATTGATGATGAGGCCGGGGTAGAGACTCAAGATGCCGTGAACCCGTCTAGGGAACACATTATTGATATACCCGAGCCGGCGGTGCCCAAGGCCAAGGCACCCTTGCCTAGACCACCTCCACCATATCCTCAGCGGTTAGCAAAGCAAAAGAATGACAATTAGTTCAAGAAATTCATAGACATGATGAAATGCCTCACAATCAATGTTCCTTTAGTGGAGGCACTCGAACAAATGCCTGGTTACGCAAAGTTCATGAAGGATTTAGTCACCAAGAAGCGTTCTATGGTGTGTGAAACAATAAAGATGACGCACCAAGTTAGTGCGATTGTGCATTCTATGGCCCCGAAACTAGAAGACCCGGGAGCTTTTACTATTCCTTGCACTATCGGGAGTGAGGAGTTTGCTAAAGCCCTATGTGACTTGGGGTCTAGCATTAATTTGATGCCGTACTCAGTCTTCAAGACTTTGGGAATTGGGAAACCTAGGCCAACCTCAATGAGACTTCAAATGGCGGACCGGTCGATGAAGAGGCCTTTAGGTATAATTGACGATGTGCTTGTCCGGGTGCACAAATTCATATTGCCGGCCGACTTTGTCATATTGGATTGTGAAGTGGATTTTGAAGTGCCTATTATTCTTGGGAGACCTTTCCTAGCTACGGGGAAGGCTTTGGTTGATGTTGAAGCTGGTGAATTGACATTTCGAGTGGGTGATGAAAAAGTAGTATTTCATGTTTGCAAATCAATGAGGCAACCCAACAACACGGAAGTATGTTCACTTGTAGACATTGTCACATCTGTGATAGTGGATGACACAAGTTCCATGATGAATGTTGAAGATCCACTTGAAGCCGTGCTTCTTAAAATGGATGTCAATGATGATGCCGGTCGAGTGGAGTGCGTGAATGCATTGCATGGTATGGGTTCATATTCATATGAGCCCAGGAAGCTATCTTTGGATCTTGAGAATCGCAAAACTCCGCCAACCAAGCCATCAATTGAGGAGTCACCGGTGTTGGAGTTGAAGCCACTTCCTCCACACCTCAGGTATGAGTTTTTGGGTTCAAATTCTACTTTACCTGTTATTCTTTCCTCGTGCCTAACTAACATGTAGGTTGACGCCACTTTGGCGGTTCTTCAAAAGCGCAAAAAGGCAATTGGATGGACATTGGCCGACATTCGGGGGATAAGCCCCGCATTTTGCATGCACAAAATCATTTTGGAGGAGGATGCAAGGCCCTCTCTTGAACATCAAAGGAGATTAAATGAGGCGATGCAAGAAGTGGTAAAGAAGGAGGTTATCAAGTGGTTAGACGCCGGTGTGGTATACCCGATCTCGGATAGTTCATGGACCTCTTCGGTCCAATGTGTGCCAAAGAAGGGTGGAATGATGGTAGTGACCAATGCCAACAATGAGTTGATTCCTACTCGGACAGTTACGAGTTGGAGATTGTGTATGGACTATAGAAAGCTGAATAAGGCGACAAGAAAATATCATTTCCCACTACCATTTTTGGACCAAATGCTCGATCGTCTTGCGGGCCGGGCCTTTTATTGTTTTCTAGATGGCTACTCGGGGTATAATCAAATTCTCATTGCCCCGGAGGATCAGGAGAAGACAACCTTTACATGTTCTTATGGCACGTTCGCTTTCTCTAGAATGCCATTTGGACTATGTAATGCCCCGGCGACCTTCCAAAGGTGTATGATGGCAATTTTCACCGATATGGTGGAGGATATCTTGGAGGTATTCATGGACGATTTCAGCGTGGTGGGGGATTCATTTGAGGAATGTTTGGTGAACTTGGATAGGGTGTTGGAAAGATGTGAAGAGACTAACCTTGTGCTCAACTGGGAGAAATGTCACTTTATTCAAAACTCCAATTGGTATGTCACCGTACAAGTTGGTGTTTGGAAAGGCATGCCACCTTCCGGTAGAGCTCGAACATAAAGCACTTTGGGCATTGCGGCAGTTGAATTTGGATATGGAGGCCGCAGGCACCAGCAAAATCATTGGGTTACATGAGCTCGAGGAATTCAGGTTCCAGGCATTTGAAAGTGCTAGACTATACAAGGAAAGGATGAAACTAATGTATGATAAGCACATCTTGGATCGTAACTTCAAACCCGGAGATCTAGTGTTGTTATGCAACTCGAGATTGAGATTGTTTCCGGGTAAGTTAAAGTCCCGATGGTCAGGACCCTTCAGAGTGGTGCAAATGTTCTTAAGTGGAGCTGTGGAGATTGAATCAGAAGATGGGACAAATAAGTTCACGGTGAATGGGCAAAGGCTAAAACAGTACCTTGGCATGGCCGAAGAAAAAGGGGATAGAGTGGTAATAACTTTGGAAGAGCCCCAGTACGCGAATGAGGAGTGATGATCAAAGCCTGCGTCGTGCCGCGACGTTAAATCAGGCGCT